TCATCGCCTCTGTCGTCAGCGTTACCTCTATCATCGCCCGTGGCTGCATGTGTTCCCGACGCAAAGAAATCGCCGTCGTCGCTGGATGTGTTGTCGAACAAGAAGTCACCCTCGTCCCAACGCATGCGGGCCCTGCGAATGCAACCATCCGTCCGCTGTCGCCAAGTCCGAGGAGTGGAACCCACATTGCCACGTGTCTGTCCTCCCACACCTGCTCGTCCATGGCCGCCACGTCCCCGACCTCCGGCCCTGCATCGCCTCCTATCCGACTCCGCCACCCGACGCTCGGCTCCCATGCGGGAAACGACGCGCATCCTCTCTCTGGCGAGGCTCAACTCCTCCTCGGTCACCTTCGCCAGCGCACCGGTGCCTCTGGCGAGCTGCTGGTCCACAACCGCCTCGTCCTCCACGGCCTGCCAATAATGCACCCATTTCCCGAAGATGTCGGGCCTCTCTCCATCACCATCGTCGCACAACGAAGGTCGATCGAGTATCCTGAGGTTCCAGTGGCACAGCACAAGCTTCTCAGCCCGGGGAACCTCCAACCTGTTGCGAGACTTCGAATGAATGAAGCTCCAACGAGACCAGACTCTCTCGTACGGTGATGCGGTCGCCCATATATGAAGGATCCTGCAAACACAGCCGTGTGAGGGAACTTCGCCTTCTTAGAGGACCAAAACCTGGCAGGGTGATCAAAGACATCCACAGCTCGCCGCATGGTGAGCTCATCGAAAGGGGGCTCTCTCGTGTGCAGCTTGGCGACTGCTCGTTGGACCTCCCGGTGCTGTGGCGATCCCTTCGGCCCTTCGGGTAGCCGAACTGGACCAGGGCCTCGACCAAGGCCTGCTGCACCTCCGCATCGTCATACAGCGTCGCGTCCCGGAACTCTGGATCTAGCAGCATGGTTGCCGTGTGGGCGGGGGTCTTGAACATTGTGCGCCGCCTGAGGAACACCTCCACAATAGCATCCTGCTGGTCCCAATCAATGTCACGAAATGCGGATAAACAAGATGCAATCATCTCCTCAAAACGTCGCAGAATCTTGTTGATCTGGCGTGTGTCGTTGTCCACCAACTTCAGCATGTCCATGATGGGCTCGAGCATCTTGCACAGAGCTCTCAAATCCACCCACCATGGAGTTTCCGCCGGTGTCAGAAGAGTCTTCGTCGAGTACGCCTTAAGAACCTCTATCGCATATCCATGGCGCTTGAAGAACCGTGTAACCAGCCTCGCTTGCGCAATGCGGGAAGCCGCCCAATCAATCCCGCCGATGTCCTCGAGAATGAGGTCCATGATATGGGCGACGCAAGGAATCCAGAAGATGTGTTTCACACTCTCATCTTTTTGGAATACCTCCATTGCCGTGACGTTCACCCCGGCGGAGTCCGTCACAAACGCTGTGATGTCGATCAATTTAATGTTCATGGACTTCACCCTTTTCAACCATACGTTCGCGAGGGCACTGGCGTCTTTTTTGCCGCGCATGACGTCGGTGGCCATATACGCTACCCCGATCTCTGTCCGAACAAGGTAGTTGCAAAACGTATGACCACGGATGTTGGTCCAACCATCGGTCATGATTGTGCAACCGGTCTCTCTCGACGTGTCAAGCACCGACCAAACACACTTCTAAACCTCACCATCCAGCTCGTCCAAAAGGGTCGTGCGCAGCATGTGGTAGGAGGGAAGTCTAGGCACGGCCGCCCCCAGAACCCCCGGCGGGATTATCATCGTGAACATGCGTTTGAAGCTTTTAAGCTTCGTGCAGTTGAACGGCATCCCGCTCTCGACGATTAACCGCATGATTTGCAGATGCCCGGCATCGTCCCGTCGTGGCTCTCCCGCCGAGGACCCCGGCATCCAACAACCCGCCAGGACTCACAGGTGTCGCGCTCTGGGCGACTGCAAGGTCGCGAATGCGCTGCAAAGGGTCTAACGATCCGGTCAACACAGGTGGAGGTTAAGGGGCAGACCGACCACCCCCCGTTGTTGTCGGAATCGGGTTCGGTGATAAATCGGACACCGGAGTGGGGACCTCCTCGGCAGGCACCCCATGATCCGCTTGTTCCCCGAAACGAGGCATGGAGGCAGATTGTCGAGCATCTGCAAGTGCGTGTGACGGATCCGGAAGGGCGGTTGTGTGAGCGTGGTGGACCACTGGACGCTGCGCCGCTCGCGACGGTGGCGGTGGCAGCCAGGGGTGCTCCAACGAATCGCGAGGCGATGCGCCAGGCGCCACCGCAGTACCACCCCGTGCGGCATCTGACTGTCGCTCTTGAACACAGGGGCGAGCACGGCTGAACTACCGACACTCCCCCCCCACCTGCGACTCTCAATAAAAGCATGTGTGCTCTCCTCGTCAAATGCCGCAGAGCCCACACTATCCCGAAATCAGTGGTTTTGAGTCTTCGACCCGATGACTAGACCGTATTTTGACGGTACTCTTGTTTGACATGACGGGGAAAATTAGGGGTACCCAGAGCACCCCTAATTTTGGATGTGCTGACCACTGAGAGTAACCCTCAAATTAACGAGGGGAGTTACCTCTTCTACCACGCTCACCTCTCTTCCGCTTGCTCCGAGTCTATTCCCGAAGCAGCTAGCCGCGGGATGGGAATACGGGAGTAGGCCTTGGCATGACCGTTTTACTTTGCACAATTGGAGCGGGAATGGAGCCTCGGATTTCATTAATTTTAATACGAGAATTAAAAATGGAAAAAGGAATTAAGAACAGTAGAAGCGAAGAGAAAAACGGGATATTCTTTATTTTATTAAATTTCCTCGGTATTTAATTTTAATGGAATCACCGTCATTATTTGTTATTTCCAGTAATAGAGTTAAAAATAGGGAAAGGAATAAAAAATGATAGAAGAAGAAGAAAACAAAAAAAAAATTGTTAATTAATTGAATTCCATCGGAATTTATTTTTGTTGGAATTATTTTTATTTTCATTATTTTTTATGATAGGATTAAGAAATAAAAAAAATAATTAAAAATGATTGAAAGGGAAGAAAACTAATGATTATTTAATATTTGATTAAATTCTGTTTAAATTATTCGTGATGAGTTTGGGGCCGGATTATTTATTTACCCTGATTTAACGATCCTCCCTATTCTCCGATAATTGAGATCGCTCACGTGACTTACCTGATATATCTGGTTACTAGCCTTGCCGCAGTTGGTGTGTTTCGAGAGAGCTGGGCCGATGGACAGTGGGGGTTGGTGCTACCTTTGTCCGACGATTGCTTCGATATCACGCTCGGTATTGGCTCGACATCGACATGTTTCAGGTTCGGTAATGACTCGGCGTCCGTACGGTACAGCCCATTGCAGTTCGGGACAGTTGCCTCAGGTTCGGTGTTGATTCGACGTTGGCACGACACTGCTCGATATGTGTCTTAGATTCGGTTTTAGTTCAATGTCGACATCGGGTTGCAGCGCCGCGTCACTAGTACTCTGTGTGATCACTGGTTTGGCGCCGAGACAGAATTCCGCGGTTTGGTACTTTTCCTTTGATAAGGTCACTGGTCCGACATTGATGAGACTCACAGCAGCCTGTTGCTACTATTTGGTGCTGTACTACTCCAGCTTGGTGTTGATTAGTGATACGGATTTGGCTCAACGACGGTCTGGTCACGCTGGTTCAAGTTTGGTACGGTATACTGATTCTAGACAAGTTCGACGACAGTACCACTGCAGATTGGCCAATGGTACGGCACAGGCAAGGTATTGTGGCAGCATACTATGGCCTGTTCCTTTTCTTTTCAAGCTCGGTAACTGGTATGATCAGAGACACTGCAACTTGACTTTGTTCATTCCGCTCTACTCTGGCTCGTCACTGGCCGTTTGTAGCAGCCCCGTGGATTTTTCCCTGGTACGGGACCTGCTATACGAATCTACCTGGCATATTTTTGTTGATACAGATCTCATTGGGCCTGGTGCCTGGCCCATTTTTCCCAATGCAGGCCACACAGACTTGGTACCGGGCCTGCTTTAGCCAATGCGGGGTAAACTGGCGGTCTCTTGAGGCCACGGCCTCTGGTTCTAGGAGGATATAACGAGGATCAACTGGTCTGGTAGGACATTCAGACGGGGGCAGTCTCTCGCAGCATGCAAGGTGTACCCCGCCTACGTCGCTTATACTGATGATGTCAACGGGGAGCAGTTCATAGGCGGTTACAGGAGATGGAGACGGGGGGCAGTCTCTCGCGGCATGCAAGGTGTACCCCGCCCACGTCGCAGATACTGAGGAAGTCAACGCGGATCTCACGAGCGCAAGGGGTACGCTGCGGCATCTCCGCATTCGGGCGAAACAGAGGAGACGGTGTGAGGAGAAAGGGATTCTGGCAGTGTGCCAGGTGTGCGGGGCGCTAGTTTGACTAGGAGGAGGACCATTACCGTGAGAAACAGAGATTACCATGGTCACGACTGACTAAAAGCCGCCACTGCCGGCGGGAACGAGACTCATCGGTGAATATCATATCTAACGATCCCGCTGCTGGGGGGGACGATCATCTTCAGTGTGATCATCCCACTGCAGGCGAGAGCAGCGATCACCATCTTCGGTGTAATCATCCCGCCGCTGGCGAGGACGGAGCTCATCGGAGAATATCAGATCAGACGATCCTGCCGCAGGCGGAAGCATGCCGTACAGTAGTATCTGACCAACCAAGTATTCCCCCTGGTGGTGGGAACAACCGTTTTTGCTGATTCAGGCTAATCAAGTATTCCCACTCCAGGAGGAAACTGGCAGTTTTGCTGAATCAGACCAATTAAGCATTCCCACTGCTGACGGAAACGACCGGTTTTGCTGATACAGACCAATCAAGAATTCCCCCTGCAGGCGGAAACTGGCAGTTTCGCTGATTCGGGCTAATCAAGTATTCCCGTTGCTAGCGGGAACAACAACTCTCACTAACCAACCAACCAGGTACTCCCTCCGTTGGCGGGAACAGGCAATTTTACTGATCAGCCCGATCAAGTACTCCCACTTCTGGGAG